TTCTTTCTTTGAGGTGCAAAAGCTCAAAAAAAACGTCAGTGAACAATACTTAATGAAGGAAGTTCGGGATTATATAAGATTAAAAGAAAAGGCCTAAAACAATTCCAGAAATAGCAGTAAATGTGAGGATTAGGAGGCTTTTAGAATGCCAACAACAGGGGATAAAGAAACTGATAAGAAAAGGCAGAATAAAATATAAATGCAATCTAGCAAAAAAGAACAGAGAAATGGATGGTAAAAGCTTCTTTAGGCATGTAAAAAGGAAACCTTTGGCTAAAACAAATGTGGGTCCATTACAGGAAGAGTCAGAAGAATTTCTAATGGGGTGGAGAGAAATAGCAGAGAAGCTAAATGATCTGTTTTGAGTCAGGAAGTACCGACATTTCCTTGAACTAGAGATCTAACTGATAGGGGAGAATGGGGAGCTGAAGGAAATTAACATTATTGTAAGAAGATTGACCTAGAGAAATTTATAGGGATGAAAGTTGATAAATCTATAGGATTTGATATTTTACATTCCAGAGCGTTGAAGAGCTGGTTATAGAGATGGATTGGTGATTTATTTCAAAATTCTATAGCTTCTGCAATAATTCCTATGGATTTGACAGTAGCAAATGTTACCCCATTATTCAGGAAGGGAGCAAGAGAAAGCACAAGGAAATGCAAACCTGTTAGCCTTATATTAGCTGCAAGAATCTGTTATAAACAATGTGATAAATAGACACTCAGAAAATAGTGATCTGACTGAGCATAGTCAGCATGGATATACAAATAAGAAATCATGTTTGACATAAGAAATCATGTTTGAAGACGTTGCCAACAAAATTGATGAAGCAAAGTCAGTGGATATTTCATTCTTAGATTTTCAGGAAGCTTTTGATAAAGTAATTCACAGGAGGCTGGTTAGAAAAATTAAAGCACACAGAATAGGAGGTACTTTACTAGCCTGGATTAATGGTTGGGTAACAAACAGAGAATTGAGAGTAGGAACGAATGGGTTGTTCTCATGTTGGCAGGTTGTGTGGCTAGTGGGGTACCACAAGGATCAAGACTTGGGCCCCAGCTTTTCACAATATTTATCAATAATTCAAAAGTGGGGACCAAATGTAATATTTCTGAATATATGAATAATATAAGGCTAAGTGGAAATGTATATTGTGAAACTGATAGATTTCTGATTATTAATGGTGATTGGGATTTTAGAAACGGGATACATAAAGGCATTGAAATGGTTATCAGCCAGGATCATGATTTCACAGAACTAGATTTCACATTGAATGACAGAGCAGGCTTAATGGGCTGAATGGCCCACTCCTGTTTTATGTTTCTATCTGTTTCCTTTCAGATAATCCATTTAACATCACAATAATGCACTGGGTAAAGAAAAGTCCTTGATTCCCCCGGTCCATTTTTGCCAGTCACCTTGAATCTGTGTTGATAGTTTTTAGCTCCTCTGCTACTGGAAAGATCTTCTGCTTATTTAACATGTTCCATGATTCTGAATGCCTGTATCAAAGCTCCCCTTAACCATCTCTGCTCTAAAGCGAGTCAGCTCTTCTCTCTTCTCAAACCACGTCTCCTGTTGTTTCCACATAATTGAACCCTCATCCCATCCTTAGAAATCCACTCAGTGACCACACAAAATCCTTGATTTTCTTTGGGTGCAGATTTGAAACCAATAATCCAATTGAGACTTAACCAGTGATTTGCTAAAATTTGGCATAATTTCATTGCTTTTGTAGCCTATGCCTCTACTGATAAAGCTCAGGAACCCAATACCTTTAGTTAAAGTTCTCTCAACTTGTCTCATGTCACCTTGAAGTATGTGTGTATGTGCATCAACACCATTCCCCCAGTCCTGCTGTCTCTATTCTTGCATCCCTTTCATTCTGTGTCATTTAATTTAAATTGCCTCTCCTCATTCTTCCTATTAAAGTGATCAAAAGGATTGTGTTGTCTGTGAGTGTTCAATATGAAATGGAATGTATGCAAGTGAGGAGAATGAACAGTGGGAACAGTGTTGGGTGAGAGAGAGGTAGCATGTGAAAGCAACATGAGACAACAGTGTGACAATAACACGTGACAGTGGGGGTGTCATGCTTGGCTGTGATTTGAGATATAATCCATTTGTCAAGTTTTGCTTTTTTTTTGCAAAAATATTTTGTTCTCCCTTCTCAAAGTGCTCCCACTTACTTATAGAATCATGAACAAAATCCCTGTCTGATGTCCCCTCTCTCTAACCCAGGACACTGGTCAATGATCAGGAGCAGGAACGTTGACTCTTTTCCTCCCCCTAGTTGTGTTTCTCTCACTGCCTCACAGGAAAGCAGAAACACCTTTGATTCTTTGAAAAAGAACATGTGTTTCTGCTCTTGTATTGAAGCTGGTCATCTGTTTAAAATGGAAGTCTTTAAATCTTTGGCACAGCAGGGAAAGCAATCAATGAGATCCATGATAGAAACCATTAGAACTGCGGATGCTTTAAATCAGGAACAAAAACAGAAGTTGCTGGAAATGCTCAGAAGTTCTGAGGAAGGGTCACTGGACCTGAAATGTTATCTCTGACTTTTTCTTCACAGATGCTGCCAGACCTGCTGAGCAGTGGTATCCAAGAAAGGCCCATTGGCAGGAATCCCACATTAGATACAAAGCTTAGAGACACTGATACCAGAACTCCATCAGTCACAGTTACCAAAACTCCTTGGATTAAACCCAAATGTAAAACTTCTACAGTAAGAGACAGAGTCTGATGTTAGATCTTTCAGTGTTCAAATAGGAGTAACTGCTCCCATATGCCTCAAATTGGCAATTACATTTAAACTACACCTTCACCGATTAAATAGTGCAACCACATTTTCAGAAATCAAAACAAGTCACATTGTAGAACCTTGGGAGGTGGGAGTTCCTGATGATGGCCATGTTGGGTGACCAGTAGTGGGCATTTGAAGAATGGAGGCCCAGACTGAGTTGGCAACCTTTTCTTTTATTCCCTTGTGGGACACGAGTGCATCTGGCTGGGCTAACATATACTGCCCATCTCTAGTTGCCTTTGTGAAGGGGACAGTCAGATGCCTTCTTGAACCATTGCAGTCCATGTGCTGTAGATGGACCCATAATGCTGCTACAAGAGGGAGTTCCAAGATTTTGACCCAGCGACTCTGAAGGAACAGTGATATATTCGGGATGGTGAGCGGCTTGGAGGGGAACTTGCAGTGGTGGTGTTTCCATGTATCTGCTGCTCTTATCCTTCTAGATGGTGGTAGTCATGGAAGGTGCTGACTAAGGAGCCTTGGTGAAGACCTGTAATGCACCTTGCAGAGTACACACTGCTGTTACTGAGCATCGGTAGTGGGGGGAGTGGATGCTGGTGGATGTGATGCCAATCAAACAAACTACTTTATCCTGGATGGTGTCGAGCTTCTTGAGTGTTGTTGGGGCTGTGCTCATCCAGGCAGTGGGGAGTATTCCATCACAATCCTGACTTGTGCCTTGAAGGCTTTGGGGAGTCAGAAGGTGAATTACTTGCTTCGGTATTCCTAGCCTCTGACCTGCTCTTGCAGCCACTGTATTTATATGGCTAGACCAGTTCAGATTCTGGTCAATAGTAACCCCCAGGATGTTGATGTTTACATTGTTTAAAAGGTGTCATCAGCAATGGAGCCACCTGAGCCAATAAGATAGTGATAGCTCCTTTGGATATGACAAGGGGATTGAGTGGGAGGGGTACTGATCCGCTATGTTCAATGCAATGTGACATATTGAATGCTTACAGTTGAACAAAATGTCACATAGATTTTCTGCCACCCCAGGACCAGTTTATACTTGAAAAAAAGTGAAAAGATGAAAACCTGGACGTTTGAACTACTTGGGATATTTGGACATTTAATGAAAAAACGGAAGACTGATCACCCGAAAACGAAAGTGTCTCACGTGACAGTGGGCAGGATCCAGGTTAAACAGGGAGGAATGGTGATTGAAACAGTGCAGCCTTTACCACCTTCTGGGAGTGGACCTGAAAGACTTCACCTGGTCAGTCAAAGCAGGGGGAGAACTGCTTGTTGAGTCGATATGTGTGTATTGAATGAGGGATAAGTGGCTCTCCAACACATATTCTCTGGGTCTCTGTTTTCTCTGGATGATCTTCATAAGAGATGAACTCAAGTTCTGTTCCCCCTGGTTGAGCTGGTTTTTAGAAATAGCATGCAATGAACTGAAGGCCCTCTTTCTGACTGTACCCTCTGGTCTTTTGATAAGTTGTTGGCTTCAAATCACAGGATGCTCAGTAATATCATACTGTGTGATATCACACAGTGGAATATCACACAGTGACACCATCCAGGTGTCCCACAGTGAAATATCACTGTGGGATATCCCAGTGTGATACTTCACTGTTTGATAGATATCCCACTATGTGATATCCCACAGTGTGTATATCCCACTGTGTGATACCTCACTGTGTGATATCCCATTGTGTGATACCTCACTGTGTGATATCCCATTGTGTGATACCTACACTGTGTGATACCTCAGTGTGATATCCGACTGTGTGTATATCCCACTGTGTGATACCTCACTTTGTGTATGTCCCAGTATGATACCTCACTGTATGATATCCCACAGCATGATATCACACTGTGTGATATCCAACTGTGTGAATATCCCACTGTGTGATACCTCACTGTGTGTATATCCCACTGTGTGATACCTCACTGTGTGATACCTGACTATGTGATACCTCATTGTGTAATATCCACTGTGTGTTATCCATTACCCCAATATGAGATACCCAATGTGGGCTATCCCAATGTTGTTATCCTGATCTGCATTAACTCATTGTGTGTTGCCCCAGTGGGCGATATCCCAATGTGCGATATCCGAATGTGAATTACCCCAACTTGCCTTGCCCTAACATGCATTGGCCTAGCATGAACTGAATGCTTTGTTTCTTTTCAGATGGTTCTGAAGTGTGGCATAAACAGTGAGGACTTGATTACTTCACCATGTCTAATGGAACAGTGAATAGGACTCATGGGGTTGACAGTTCTCAGCATAATTACCTTGCACTTGTGTTTGGTGTGCCACTAATAGTAGCCATCATCCTGGGCAATGTCCTGGTGTGCCTCAGCGTGCTGATTGAGAGATCCTTGAAGACAGCAACAAACTACTTCATTGTCAGCCTGGCTGTAGCAGATTTACTTCTTGCTGTTCTTGTCCTGCCACTCTTCGTGTATACTGAGGTAAGGAATCTGTACCATCACCAATGAAATGATCCATGAGCAATGCTCAGGGTAATGCTTAAACTGTTAAATTTTCAACTGTTTCATCAATGCTGTTACCTCCAGCCTAAGGTCAGAGCTGGGCATGTTTGTTGTCAATTGTATTGTGTTTAGTTACATTTATAACTGCTCAGATACTGAAGCAGCTTGGCCTACTTACTGCAAGATCTGGACAGCACTCAGACTGGACTGATGGTGGACTGATACACCCTGTGCCACCTATGTTCCAAGCAATGACGAACTCCAATAAAAGAGAGAGTAATTACTTCCCCTTAGTTAGCAACACAAATGCCATGATTACCAGAGGTGGTGAGAGCTAATCTGTGCTGAATTGACAAAAATACTTAAAATGTTTAACGTCTCCATATACATATATATCTATGTAAGTTCTTTGGGTGTTCTGCCAAACATTTGCTGTGACTGTGACTACATGTCTACTGTAAGCAGGCTACATTAAAGTGCCTTCATTCATCAAACACTTCCAGGGCAGGTACAGCACAGATTAAATACGGAATGAAATTCCCTCTGCACTATCATAGCAAAATTACCCAGGTCAGGTACAGAATAGAAAGACGAATGGGAACTACAGAAGGTAAAAAGTAAAGTACCCAGCAGATACATAAACAAAAAAAAGAAAATCAGAAGGGGCATGGAATGGAGCCAGGAAGGGATGTATGAGTTTGGTTCATTTACAGCAAATCCAAGTCTGAACATCACCATGAGGTAGGCTTCTGCCACTGTCCCCTTTAAATGTAGGGAGCTCCAGACCCTGATTGGTTGAGTGTGAGGGATATAAACCACTTACTGGTCTAACTAGAAGAGCCTCGTCATTAACAAGATATAGTTTAAAGTGTGTTAGCAACTAGTTATAGGTTACATTGAAATAATAGACATTGGACAGAGACAATGAGGAGGACCTGGATGTTACTGTTCACTTCGTAAAGATCCTAAGCCGTGTTGACACCGCGTCTAAATGACATCATCATATAGGGTAGTGCTTAAGGCACTCCTCAATATTAACTCTTACAGCTCTGACACCCTTATCTTACAAAGATAACCTCACAGGAAATGACATTGAAGTGGCTGAAATATATTTACTTTTCCCCAATATATACCAAGGAGACTGCCCAACAACAACCAAGAAACCAATGATTCGGATGCATTAAAAAATGGGAAGTTTCAAAATAGAAGTTCATTTGGTCAAAGAAATCAGACTTATGTTTCATTGGTAACCTACAGCTAACCAGCTTCTTATTAGATCCTTCAGCTATAACCTTTCTCGCCATGTTCTCCAATCCCAACTGCCTTGCATTGGATTCTTCAATCCCATTTTCCTGATCTCCAATATCTCTTTCCTTCCTACTCACTTTCTCCCCATTTTATCTAATCCCCTGACCACAATGTCTTTCAAAGCTTTCTATCTCCAGCAACATTTGTAATGATCTCCTGCCCTGACTGACTTGCTAACCGCCCTTACTTCAGATACTGACCATTGCCCAAGAGCTGTCCATGTACAGGACATGGCTAGACATGCAAGGAACCTCCAATGACCAGGACCATGGAATAGAACCTAGAAAGGTTTTGGATAATGCTGTTACTGTGTGTAAACTGCCGGATTCCACCAACCTGGAACATTCCTAATGTCCATCAACTACCAAATTTTTAATAGCATTTTCCACCTTCCCATTCCAGAAGGTTCCACGACGAAGCTTCATTTTTGTTCTTGTTGTAGGAATGAAAGAAGATAATAGATGTTAGCTCCTGACTACCATTAACTAGTTGGGCCTCTATTTTGGACATTCCTTGTTCTTTTACCTCAGTCACTTGTCACGTTAATGTGAATGCCCCACTGACTGTGTTTGTGCTACTTGTGTTGTTTCAATCTCAATGCATCTTTTTTTCCAGTTTCAGGGAGGGATTTGGACTCTGAACATCTTCCTGTGTGATGCATTAATGACAATGGATGTGATGCTTTGCACAGCTTCCATTTTCAACCTCTGTGCAATCAGTGTAGACAGGTTTGTATAAACATTTACATCTCCTGTCAGCCTCACCAAGTAGGCTGTCTCCAGTAAGTCCCACATCGAGAAACTGAAAATATAATTGAGCATCCAAAACATAACCTGAAAGTGAATGTTATACTTGATCAGTTTCATTGAATTATTTGAAGGAACAACAGAAATGGTAGATAAGGGTGATGTAGTTGATGCAATGTGTCTGGATTTATTAAAAGGTTTTCAACAAGTTACGTAGTCGACATGTAACAAAGGCCAGACACATGGAGCGAGGAGCAAACAGAATGGATAGCAAGCAGAACAGAAAACTATCGCATTAATGACAATTACTTGGAATGGCAAATGTTATTCTACAAGGATTGCACTGGGACTGTTATTTCTCATAATTTACACAAATAATCTGCACAGAGGAATCAGAATGGCGCTGTGATTGGTCGACTTGCCGAGATAGTTCGTTCATTTGCAGACATTTCATTACCCTGCTGGGTAACATCATCAGTGCAGCCTCTGATGAAGCGCCGTTGTGTTTTCCTGCCTGGTATTTAAACTTTGGGGTCTGTTGGATTTGATTACCTCATTTCTGTTTTTTCTTCGCAGTGGTGTATATATAGGGTCTAGTTCTATGTGTTTATTGATGGCCTTCTTGGTGGAGAACCAGGCCTGTAGGAATTCCTGTGTTTGTCTCTGTTTCGCTTGTCCTAGGATCCTGATGTTGTCCCACTCGAACTGGTGGTTCTCTTGTCTGTGTGTATGGAGACCAGTGAGTATGGTTCGTGTCTTTTTGTTGCGAGTTGGTGTTCGTATATTCTTGTAGCCGGTTTCCTTCCTGTCTGTCCAACGTAATGTCTGTCACAGTCCTTGCATAGAATCTTGTATATCACGTTGGTTCTGTCCATAGTGGGTAGGGGGCCTTTGGTTCTTGTTAGCAGTTGGCGTAGGGTTGATGTAGGTTTGTGTGCCACTCTGATGCCCAGTGGCCGTAGGAGTCTTGTGGTCAGTTCAGATACGTTCTTGGTGTATGGTAACGTGACAAGTGTGTCGAGGCGTGCTGTATCTTCTTGCTGTTGTTTGTGTGACAGGCATCATTAGACCCAGTTGTCCGGGTATCCATTGTCTCTAAATACTTGGTGGAGGAGTTCTTCTTCATTTTGGCATAGTTCTGGGTTGCTGCAGTGTGTTGTGGCTCATTTGAACAGTGCTTTTAAGTAACTCTGTTTGTGGTGTTGGCGTGGTTACTGTTGAAATTTAGGACTTGATCCGTGTGTGTGGCCTTTCTGTATAATTTGGTCAGAAATTCCCCATTGGCCCTGCGTTCTACCATCACGTCCAGGAATGGGAGCTGTTTGTTCTTTTCCTCTTCTCTGGTGAATTTGATGCCAGTGAAAATGTTGTTTATAAGCTGGTGTGTTTCTTCTAGTCTAGTTCATTTGATGTTGACGAAAGTGTTGTCACATATCAGATCCATAGTTTGGGCTGGATCTGTGGAAGGGCCGTGCTTTCGAGTCTCTGCATCACTGCTTCTGCTATTAGTCTGGAGATGGGTGACCCGATAGGTGTCCCGTTGATTTGTTTGTAGATCTGGCCATTAAAGGTAAAGTGGGTCATGAGGCATAGGTCCAGTAATGTCAGCATGTTGTCTCTGGAGATGGTGTTATTCGGGTCCAGTTCTTTCAGTAGTGTTGCTAGTGTTTCTCCTGCTAGTGGTATGTGAATCGATGTGAATAGGGCAGTAACGTCAAATGACACTATGGTCTCGACTTCGTCTATTCTTATGTCTTTCAGGGATTTGAGGAACTCCTGGGCTGAGTGGATTGAGTGGGGTGACTTGCTGACGAGGTGCTTTAGTCTTTGTTGTAACTCCTTGGCTAATCTATGTGTTGGTGCGCCTGGGAGAGACACTATGGGTCTGAGGGGTACTTCTGGTTTGTGTACCTTTGGGAGGTTGTAGGATTGGTGGGGTGTTTGTCCCTTCAGGTTTCATTTTTAGGTAGTCTTATTTGTTGATTTGTCCAGTCTGTTTGAGTCTCTTTAGTGTGTGGATGATTTTATTTCCCAGCTGCAGTGTCGGGTCTGTTTTCACTTCTTGGGATGTATTTGCGTCCGCTAGTAGTGTCTGTGCTTTAGTGAGGTAGTCTCGTTTGTTAAGTATTACTGACATGAGGTAATCAACTCCAATGGACCCCAGAGTTTAAATAACAAGCAGGAAAACACAACAACGCCTCACCGGAAGCTGCATTGATGATATTACCCAGCAGGGTAATGAAACGACTGCAATCCAACGAGCCAGCTCGGCGAGTGAGCCAAACACAGCATCCACAACCCGAGCTACGAATGACAATTTCAGACCTTGTGGATGACACTGGTTTTGTGGGTGGAAGGGAAAAAGAGTAGTTAGTACGGAGGAGAAGAGTATTAAAGTACAGGGAGACGTTAGTAAATATGCATAATGTGTGTAAAAATGACAAATGAGTACCAATAAAGAAAAGTGTCAAAAGGGCCACATACTCCTTGGAAAGTAAATGTCCGAACAGGATGGAGGAACCCTGGGAACTGAGGGCACAAATCACCAAAAATAGTGATACTTGTTAATAAAGGTCATTAAAAAAAGTCACTGGCATTCATTTCTAAAGGGACAGAATTGAAAAGAAGGTAAGTTATGTTATGTTTGTATAGAAGCTTGGTTAAACTACACAGGGAGAGTTGTGAACAGTTGAGGATGTAAGAGTTTGGAGTTGGAGTGAACCACACAATCCCTAGATGGTGCTCTGCTGTTCAATGTGATCACTGCTCACCTTTAGCTTCAACGCCACTTTCCTGCCTGCTCGCTATATCCTTTCATTAGTCATATTGATCATATTAAATATATTCAGATATGGAGAGTCCACAATGCTCTGGGACATGGAACACCAAAGATTCACAACACTTTGCATGAAGAAAATTCTCGATGTGAATAGGGCAGTAATGTCAAATGACACTATGGTCTCGACTTTGTCTATTCTCATGTCTTTGAGGGATTTGAGGAACTCCTGGGCTGAGTGGGATACTTGGTCCCTAATCCCCAGACTTTGAGCCTGTGTTTTAGGTATCCCAACCAGTGAAAATAATCAGAAAGTAAATATCAATGAGATCACCCATCATTCTTCTAAATGCCAGAGACTATAGACCCAATTTATTCAGCTCCTCATCTCAGGGCTACCCCTCATTGCAGAGAGCAATCTACTGAACCTTCACTGTACTACCTCCAGGCATTAGCTTAGCTGGTTAGACAGTACCATGTAGATTTGATTAAACCAACAGCACAACAGCCTTCAAGTCTTGCTCCTGCGGACTGAGGCTCTGTATCCTCACCTTATTCTTGGTATCTTCATCTATATCCTTAGTATACGCTAGCCAGCTGAGTCCGTGTTTGATCTCCATGCTATTAAAAATGTGTATGTACAAGAAGAGGCTCAAAAACATTTTAAAAAGTTCTCTAGAAAGGAGAAGACTGAGGGTTGATCTGATAGAGATCTTTAAGATTATAAAAGCATTTCATAGAGCAAATGTAGAGAAGATGTTTCCACTTGTGGGAAGACTAGAACCAGGGGTCATAAGTATAAGATATTGATGAATAAATCCATGAGAAAATTTCAGAGAAATGTCTTTACACAGAGACAGTGGTTTGAATATAGAACTGGTTATCTCAGAGAGTGGTTGAGGTGAATAGAATGGATACAATAAACACAAGGAAAGGTGTGTCAAGGTATGTTAGATGAAGAGGATTGTGAGAAGAATCAAAGGGGCCATAAACATTGATATTGATCAGTTGGGCCAAGTGTCTTATTTCTGCACCGCAGTTACTAGACAACACTTCCTAACCTAAAATTCTCCAATTTACCTGTCTTCTGGGGCAGTGGTTTTCAGCCAGTATTGTGCAGCTCACTGCTGGGCTGTGTGAACTGTCTAAATGTGCTGTGAAATTTTGCACAAAGGTAATGAAAATCAATGTCAAACAAATATTGTTTCATCTTAAACAATGTTCCAGCTGAACAAAATTACAACTAATGAAAATTAATCATCAAATTAAACGCATAGTATCAGTCTTTTGATTCTAAAATATGAACGGACATTCTAAACACGTGGCCAAAGGGCAAATTGAGATGAAGTGAGAAGCGTGGGTGTACTGTGGAACTGTTTGTCTTATTGCAGTGTGCTGTGTTACTGAAAAGGCTGGGAACCACTGATCTAGAGCCAGGTTGACAGAAATAAAGGAGCCCGTTTCTGTAGAATCATAGAGTCATAGAGGTTTACAGCATGGAAACAGGCCCTTCAGCCCAACTTGTCCATGCCACCCAATTTTCACAATTAAACTAGTCCCATTTGCCTGCATTTGGTCCACATCCCTCCATACCTATCCCATTCATGTAGCTGTCCAAATGTTTCTTAAATGACTTAATTGTACTTACCTCTATCACTACCTCTGGCAGCCTGTTCCAGACACTCACCACCCTCTCTGTGAAAAACTTGCCCCTGTATTTAACAAAAACTAGTATTTATTCCATGTAAGTAGACTTGAGCTACAGGTAAACAATTCTGAATCATTGACAAATAACTGTAATGCCCTTAAAATCTCCACACACACACACACGCACCAGAAACAAATGCACTGTGTGTGGAGGGAAAAGCACTTCGATGGTCGATGTTCATTTTTTCCCGATATTCTCATGGTTTGCACAAAGCACATGGTAGCTGCTTCACTGGTAAAAGGCCTCTACATTATTGGTTGGAAGTCATATAGAGGCATAGAAACATACAGCATAGAATCAGACCCTTTGGTCCAACTCGTCCATGCTGACAATGTTTCCCAAACTAAACTGGTCCCATTTGCCTGTGTTTGGCCCATATTCCTCAAAACCTTTTCTAATCGTATACCTATCCAAGTATTTTTTAAATGTTGTAATTATACCTGCATCTACCACTTCCCCTGACAGTTTACTTCATGAATGAACAACCTTCAGTGGAAAAGTTGCCCCTCAGGTCCCTTTTAAATCTTTCTTCTCTCATCTTAAAAATATATCTTCTAGTTTTGAGCTCCCCTACTCTTAGAGAAAGGACCTTTGCTATTCATCTTGTCTACACTCCTCATGATTTTATAAACCTCTATAAGGTCACCCCTCAACCTCCTACGCTCTAGTGAAAAAGGTCCCAGCCTATCCAGCATCTCCTTATAACTCAAACCCTCTAGACCCGGTAACATCCTTGTAAATATTTCTTATACCGTCTCCAATTTAATACTATCCTTCCTATAGCATGGCAACCAGAGTTGTACACAGTACTCCAAAAGTGACTTCACCAATGTGCTGTACAATTGCAATATGATGTGCCAACTCCTATATTCACTGGTCTGAGCAATGAAGGCAAGCGTGCCAAACGCCTCCTTCACCACCCGGTCTACCTGTGACATAACTTTCCTGAATCCCTAGGTCTCTGTGTTTGATAACACTCCAGGGACCTATCATTAACTGTGTAATTCCTGCCCTTATTTGTCTTATCAAAATGCAATACCTTGCATTTATCTAACTTAAACTTCGTCTGTTATTCCTCAGCCCACTGGTCCAATTAAACTTACATCATCTGCTGAACAATGAATAAACAAAACTTCTTCGGGTTCAATGTGGCTTTTACTGCAGACAACAGAGCGATTTCCTGGTGTGGTTTTGGTCTGAAGGCTTCTCACTATCTTGTTCACAGCAGCAAGCTGTTTGGGTACCTGACAACCAATCACATAATTGTTGGCAGGCAGAAGATTTCTGTCAGTGTCACTGGTCACTAGCCCACAAACCAATCCATTATTTGCTGCCAACCAAAGTTCCATCTGTACACAACTCTGGCTCCAATTCATTTGCTACCACTTCTGTAACCCACAATATTCATAATGAGTCTTGAGTTACTTGCTTTCAAACCGTGAAATAATCCTGGTTTCAAAACTGTTCTTCTCTCATTTCAGTGCACAATTAAAAAAAACAAAAATAAAAAGACATGGTCTTTAAATCATGCATGGCCAAAAGTTCTAGTTTAACAAACTATGATCAAAGACTCGAGTTACCTGTTTTTAACCTGTCAAAAGGCTGTAGTTTCCTGGTTCTAACCAAACCTTCAATGACCCGGTTTGGTAGGTTGTGAGCACAGTATTTGCAGCCTAGAAGTTGCCACACCCATTCGTAGGTCGAACCCAAACCCCAGAAGATCACTTGCACTATGTCTCTCTGTTATACCACAGAATCAATCCAATCACATCCATAACAGGGAATACTCCCTTCCTAATCAATTTCATCAGCTTCTGACTGACTGATATCAGAAAGCAGCCAAAACAAAAAGAGCTGGCTGAATGGCTTGTGTGTCTAGATAAACAATTGGTGATCATTCCCAAATCCTTGAAATGATGGCCCACAAATTCTCGGGAACTGGTCTGTCAGAGGGAGCTTCATCAAACATCAGGACTGGTATTTGAGTGTTTAACTGAGTGCCCATTCTGTGGGGGCAGGGAATCGAAGATGACCCCTGAGGGTTTGGTTGTAGCAGGATGGGAGTTGGCCAATTTGAACAGGGACTCTGGCTGATACTGACCAGTGTCTCTGTGTCTTGTGCAGGTACATTGCTGTGATCGTTCCCCTGAAATACAACAGGAACCACTTCAGTGGGCGCCAGCTGGTTCTCATCATGGCCACTTGGCTCCTGTCTCTTGGGGTGGCTTCCCCTGTTATCTTTGGGCTCAACAATGTTCCCGGCCGGGATGTGACAGATTGTAAACTGGAAGATGGCACTTTTGTGGTTTACTCCTCAGTCTGCTCCTTCTTCGTGCCGTGTCCAATCATGCTGCTCCTGTACTATGGAATGTTCCGGGGCCTCAGACGCTGGGGCGAGAGCCGTAGGATCACACTCCCGTCCTGGGATCACGCGCCACTCTCCTTTAATCTTTCACCCAGCAAGCGAGAAAGACACGTGGTTAAATACATCGTGCCAAAGCTAAGCCCCAATGCAGCTAAGAACATTCCGGAAAGCGACTTGATCACCACACAGCTCGATAGCACCTCTGATGTGGAGACACCTGATGGAACAAAGACAGGAGCCCCAAAGGAGAATGGGCCTGTACCGCGACACGGCCTGGGGAAAGGGCCCTTCATGAGAAGCCGCAGAGTCAGTGGCCGTGAGAGGAAAGCGATGAAAGTCCTTCCGATTGTTGTAGGTGGGTACTTACCCTGTCTGCTACATGGCACCGTGCAATGGGCACGGGGGAAGGCATGGCCCAAATAGTCATTCTTCATGTCTGAGCCAGAATACCGAGAAAGGAAGTGAGGGGAAATGAGGGGGAGTAGGGAGATTGAGAGGGAGGGTGGGGAGAGGGGGAGGAGAGTGGGGAGAAAGGGGTGGGAGTGGGGGAGAGTAGGGAGAGTGGGGGAGGGAGTAGGAGAGAGTGAGAGGGAGTGTGGGGAGAGTGGAAGAGTGGGGAGAGCGGGGAGAATAAAGGGGTAGATTTTGGGTGGGGAGATTGAAGGGCTGGAAGAGTGAGGGGGACAGTGAATGAAGCGAGTGGGAGATTATGGAGATAGAGAGATTGAGGAGTTGGGGAGGGGTGAGGGGGTGGTAAAATGAGGGGGTGTGGAGATTGAGGAGGTGATGAGGTGAGGAGTGAGAGGGGGATTGGAGAGTGAGGGGGATGGGGGAGAGAGACAGTGGAGAGAGTGAGGGGGTGGGGGAGAGTGAGGGAGCACAGAGACTGAATGGGTGGAGAAGAATGAGGGAAGTGCAGGGAGGGTGGGTGAGGGGATAGTGAGAATGTGAAAGGGGGTATTTGGGGTAACAATTATCACAGATTGGAGTGGAGTGAAATAGAACAAGCATAAAGGAAAGTGAAGAAGAGATAATGGAGAAGGTTGTGATGTGCTCACAGTGTAAGAGGGGACACAGGGCGATGGGGGTCATAGTGCAATGGGATCACAGTATGAAGGGGTCACAATGTGATGGGGGTCACAGTGTAATGGGGTAATGTTGTGAGGGGGTCACAGTATAATAGAGGTCACAGTGCGATGGGGTCACGATGCGATAAGGTCAGAGTGCAATGGGGTCACTGTAATAGGGGTCACAGTGCAATAGAGTCACAGTGCGATGGGGTCACTGTGCGGTGGGATCACTGTAATAGGGGTCACAGTGCGATAGGGTCACAGAGCGATAGGCGTCACAGTGCGATAGGGGTCACTGTGTGATGAAGGTCACAGTGTGAGGGGTCACAGAGCAATGGGGTCATAGTGCGATGAAGGTCACAGTGCGATAGGGGTCACAGTGTGATGGGGTCACAGTGTGATGAAGGTCACAGTGCGATAGGGGTCACAGTGTGATGGGGGTCACAGTGTGATGGGCTCACAGTGTGATGAAGGTCACAGTGTGATAGGGTCACAGTGTGATGGAGTCACAGTGTGATAGGGGTCACGGTGTGATAGGGTCACAGAGCGATGAAGGTCACAGTGCTATGGGGTCACAGTGTGATAGGGTCATAAAGCAATGGGGTCACAGTGTGATGGGTCACAGAGTGATGGGGGTCACAGAGCGATGGGGTCATGGTTAATGCTGGGTCACAGTGTGATGGGGGCAGCAATGTGTATGCAGGTGATAAACACTGAGCCTCCCCCTTTTGGGACTGGGATATGAAGAGACTCCACACTTGTGTTAAGTGTTTGTATTCTTTCCCTCTCAGGAGTGTTCCTCGCTTGCTGGACTCCGTTCTTCGTGGTTCATGTTCTGAAGGTTTTGTGTGAAGCCTGTACCATTGGCTCCATGTTGATCAGTGTGGTCACATGGTTGGGATATGTAAACAGTGCAGTCAATCCCATTATCTACACCATCTTCAACACTGAGTTCCGAAATGTTTTCAAGAAGCTACTACACTGTCAGACATGAGCAGTACCTTGATCAATCCTCACTGTGTTCATGTTTAGAATACTCTGGGAAAAGCGTCTTTTAAAGATCTGGAAATGCGATGCGTCAGTTCTGTTCAGTTTGAATGCTTTCAAATGGACTTTTTAACAATCGTCCAGTGAGTCAGCTTTCTAAAGTGGAGCACATGACAGGAGGGAGAACTGCCTAAGGAAGTGAGGATTTCAGGAGCATGTCAGATCTCTGAACCTTGACACAACTGCATTGTGAGGCACAGAGGCTGGCCTTTGGAGATAGCTGTATGCCCGCATATTGGACAGGTGCCAGGCACTCACTGTTATCCATGGGGTAAAGACATGGCACAGAGGAAGAAGATTCATGCTGTCTGTAAAATCTGTTAGTTCCTCTGAAGGCTCGATTCCCCATAACATTGTCAACTCTTCCTTTTCATATAATGACCTGAATCCCTTCCAAAATCTTCAAATGATCCTTCCTTCATTGTATTTCCAGGCAATGCATTCCAGATCCTAACTACTCACCCAGTGAAGAACTTCTTCCTCATGTCATCATTGCTTTATTTGCCAATTATATTAAATCAATGCCCTCTTGTTCTTAATCTTCTACTATGGGACCAGTTGTCCTGCTCAGCCCTTTCTACTCTGTTCAGACCCTTCATGGTTTTGAATATCTCCATCAAATGTACACTCAACCTTCTTTTCTCCAAGGAAAAGAATCCCAAGTTTTCTAAACCAACCTCATAACTGAAGGTTCTCACTCCTGGAATTATTCTCGTGATATTTTTTCTGCACCCTCTATGATGTCCTCAGATGCTTCCTAATGTGTTCTGCTCAATTTGGACACAATTCTCTAGCTGAGGTCAAACCAGTGTTGTGACCAGTGATCTGTTACCGTTCAAAGTGCTCCCTTTGACTTATGCTAAATGCTGCTGTTGATATAAACCAGAACCCTGTTAGCTTTAATATTGTTCATTTTTTCTGTTATTCATTCAAGGGGAGTGGGTGTTACTGGGCTAGCATTTATTGCTCATCCCTAGTTGCCCTTGAGAAGGTGATGGTGAGCTGCCTTTCTTGAACTGCTAGTCTACTTGGTGTATAAATATCCTACCCTCAATAATGGAAGAGCCCAGCACATCAGTGCAAAAAATAAGGCTGAAGCTTTCGTAGCCATGTGGATGATCTACCTCCTGACTCCCCAGAGCCTGTCCACCACCTATGTGGCTCAAGTCATGAGTGTGTTTGAATACTTCCCACTTGGCTGGATGGGTGTAGCTCCAAAAACACTCAAGATGCTTGACACCATCCAGGACAAAACAGCCCTCTTGACTAGTACAACACCCACAAGCATTCACTCTCTCCGCCACCGATGGTCAGTAGCAGCAGTGTGTACTATCTTCAAGATGCACTTCAGAAATTCACCAAAGCTCCTTAGACAGCACTTACCACTCTCACAACCTCTTTCACTTAGAAGGACAAGGGTAGCAGATACATGGTAACACCACCAAGATTGCAATGAGGTCAGGAGCTGAGTGGCCCTGGTGGAACCCAAGCTGGGCATCACTGAGCAGGTTATTGCTGAGCAGGTGCTGCTTGATAGCGCTGTTACTGACACCTTCCATCATTTTACTGATGATCGAGAGTAGGCTGATGGGGCAGTAATTGGGCGGTTTGGATTTGTCCTGCTTTTTATGTGCATGATGTGGATGTGCCGGTGTTGGACTGGGGTGGACAAGGTCAGAAATCACACAACACCAGGTTATAGTCCAACAGGTTTATTTGTAATCGTGAGCTTTCAGAGTGTAGCCCCTTCGTCAGGTAAAGTGAGAAAGAAGCATACAGGACACAGAATTTATAAGTAAAAGATCAAAGGGCCACACCACAGATGAGGATGTACTAAACAAACCTAAGATGCTGTTAAACCTTTAATCAGTTAGAAGGTTTTAATTGATTAATATGTGTATGTAAATCCCTGAATTTCTTTCAACTCACTGCCCTGAGAGATCGAAAGTTTTATCAGGGTAAAGAAGAGGTGACATTTTCGGTCAGACAATGCACGTTAGGTGTGAGGCCTTGTTTAGAATCTATTTGTGTTTTGGTTTGGAGTCTGACTGGTTTTATTTCTAAAGTAGGAATTTATAAAATGCACATCCACACAGCACTTCTGGCTGAAGTTTGCTGTGAAAGCTTCAGCTTTATCTTTTACACTGATGTGCTGGTCTCGTTCACCATTGAGGATGGAGATATTTGTGAAGCGCATCCTCCAATGAGTTGTTTAATTGTCCACCACCATTCACAAGGATATGGCAGGATTGCAGAGCTTAGATCTGATCCGCTGGTTATGGGATCGCTTAGCCCATCTTATACTATCATCCATATTCCTATCTTACTGCTTATGCTGTTTGGCGTGCAAGTAATCCTGTTTGGTCGTTTCACCAGGTTGATACCTCATCTTCCGGTATGCCTGGTGCTGCTCCTGCCATGCCCTCCTGCACTCTCCATTGAACCAGGGTTGATCCCCTGGCTTGATGGTAATGGTTGAGTGGAGTATATGCCAGGCAATGAGATTTCAGATTGTGTTAGAATATGATTCTGCTGCTGTTGATGATCCACGGTACCTCATGGATGTCCTGTCTTGAGTTGCTTGATCTGTTCAAATGACTATTCCATTCAGCATGGTGAAAGTGCCACACAACATGATGGAGGATATTCTCAATGTGAAAGCTGTGCAGTGGTCACTCATTGACAACTGCACCATGCAGATTAGTGAGGACGAGGTTAAGTATATTTTTCCTTTTTGTTGGTTTCCTGTCATAGAGCCAGTCTAGCAGCTAGATCCTTCAGGATTCCATTAGTAGAGCCACACTTGGAGGTGCATATTGTAGTCCTCCATTCAAAGTTAGTTGTAGTCATTGAGCTTAACATGTTTTTAGCATAAATTGAGCCCATAGCTGTCACCATCTCCATAAAAAAGGATTAAAGTTTTTCTGAACATGCACATCAACATTACTGACTCATGAGACACATTTGTAAAGATCAAGAGATTTGGTAGAAAAACCCACATTGCGTTTTTATCCAAACATAAGCCAATATAGATTGACAATTGGTTCATAAACCTCATCAGATAGAAAGATTAGTATTATTACAGTATCTTTCACAACTGCAGGATATGTCCCAAAGTTTTTTACAACAAATGAAGCACTTTTGAAGTTTTGTCATCTAGGAAATGCAACACCTAATTTACACACAACAAGCTTCTAGAAACTGTAAGGTGATAGCAACTAGATAATAATTTAGTTGGTATTCATTGTGGGATAAATATAGGACAGGACACTGGAAACTGATATAATGGCTTTCAGATAGTGTCAAGGGATCCTTGTATGTAACAGAGAGGACATATAGGGTTTGATATCTCATTCAGGAATCAACCCCTCCGACAGTGCAGCACTTCAATGGAGTGTTAGCTTCAACTTCTTTAGTCAGAATTAAAAACTGAAAGAACTGCGGATGCTGTAAATCAGGAACAAAAACAAAGTTCCTGGAAAAGCTCAGCAGGTCTGGCAGCATCAGTGAAGGAAAAAACAGAGTTAACGTTTCGGGTCCAGTGACCCTTCCTCAGAACCGGACCCGAAACGTTAACTTTATTTTTTCCTTCACAGATGCTGCCTGATCTCCTGAGCCTTTCCAGCAACTTTGTTTTTGTTCTTTAGTCAGATCCTGCTTGGACTTAAACCACCACCTCTGGCTCAGAGCTGAGTTTACTACCAAGTGAGGAACTGCAGCTGTAGTGTACAATATCATTGTGGGAACATAGAACATAGCACAGCATAGTGCAGGCCCTTTGGCCCACGATGTGCCGAACTTTTACCCTAAACCTAAGGTCGATCTACCCTCCACCCCATCTTATACTATCATCCATATGCCTATCTAATAGCCGCTTAAATGCCCCGAACGAGGCCGACTCCACTACCCTCTCCGGCAATGCATTCCACGCCCCGACCACTCTTTCAGTAAAGAACCTACCTCTGACGTCTCCCCTATATCTACCTCCACTCACTTTAAAACTATGCCCCCTCGTAATAGCTACCTCCACCCTAGGAAAAAGTCTCTGGCTGTCCACTCTACCTATACCTCTGATCATTTTGTACACCTCTATCAAGTCACCTCTCATCCTTCAATGTACTGGACTGTTGATTAAAAGACCTAAACGAACACTTCAGAGAATCAGAAGTTTAAATCCTGCCATGGAGGAATGTAGCCTGAATTAATTAGTAAACCTGGAATCAGCTGCTATTCTCATTATTGATCAGGAAGTCATAAGAAACCCAACTGTCCCTCAGGGGAGGATATCTGCTTTTCTTACTTAGCAAGTTCCATTGTGTCCAACCCTTACAGAAATAAAAATCACTCTGAGTGTACTGACACCAGATGGACTATAGCAGTTTGAGACGGATAATTCGGGATGACCAATAGAAACTGGCCTTCTTAGCATCACTCATCCAAAGAACAGGTCAGAGCTCTTCACAGCAACATTACTCCTTCAGAAAGAAAAGACTTTCCAGAACCCCTTTTTAAAAAATAATCCTGACTCTTCTCACTGGTGCATTCTGTCTAAACAGAAAGAGGATTAAGTTTACCTGTATAATTGATGTGTCCGTGTTACTTGGTCCTATATCTCAGCTTTGTCGTCTCTGAGAGGATTAATTTTCCAGTGGCCTGGAGACCGAGGTTTGTCTTCTTGACAGCGTTAGCTCTATGTTCAAGAACTTGCTTTAAATCAAAGGTTGCTGTCTGTCTGGATTTCAATTTATATGTCCCCAACCATAACAAATAGATTGCTGCCGTATATCACTGGTCAAGATGGTGAATGAAGCAGGATTTTGGAGGCATTCTGGTATCAAGCAACCAAAATCTTTCTAAAACAGGATAATATTTTTAATCAACCTGTTTATGTGTGTTCTGACACATCTCTGGCACAGGTGGGACTTGATCCTGGGACTTCAGACTCAAAGGTTGGGACACTACTGCAATGTCACATTAGGGTGTGATATACTTTTACTAGTTCCACAAATCTCTGTGACAGTAGCGCTGTGACTCATTAGGATCTTTCAGTTGAACTGAATAAAAAAGTTCATCTGAACTGACTTTACTGACTCTGAACTGACCCGGAATGTAAAATGATCTGAAATTCTAATTGGCAATGGGTAGTCACACAAATTGACATAGTTTATAACATATTACAAACTAGTCTCTGTATACCATATACCCACCTCTTAAATACTTCGTATAACTCACTAGGGATGTTTGAATTTTGGGAAAGTCAAACAACTTTAATCGGCAGCCTCATCACAGGGTGATATGCAAACACCCAGGATTCAAGTCACTCCTATAATTACAATAAGTTCCAGCACCTAGACTGGAACCAGATTCTTTCAGTGACTACAGGATGCTTGAATGGATGGGGCTGTGGACCTCATTTCTGAAATAAATACAAAATCTGTGTGAAAATGTAGCAGTTGGGTGGAGAAAAAGACAACAGGTGGGTGGTCGGGATCTTTAAGTTAGTGTGGGATTTAGATTGAAGTTGGTGAAGTGTGCGATAAGCCTCTGTGTCTCACTCAGATGTCAGCCAATTGAGGCCGCATTGGTAATTACAGGGCTTGAGGATGTCCCAGTGCCAGCTGGGATCTTCAGCTGGTAATGTGGGCAGCCTATGCCAACCCTGTGGGAGGCTCAGCGCAGGAAGTGTGGGAAGGCAGGGTTGGGGGATGGGGAGAGCTGCATTGGATCACTTTAGGAAGATTCCCTCTCTTGATTACAGTTGCCAGCTCACACCTTGGGTGGTTTTCCCATTCAATGTTAAGACGCAGCAGCTGTGCCTTTTTAACGTGACAGAAACGTGCTTGGCCTTCTCCCTCTCTCCAGCTTTAGACCAGCACTTCCCAGCTGAGCCAGTGGGGTGTGCAGATCACTCAGGGACACCCATTGGCCCTCCAGCATTAGGAATCTGTCCCAAGTCTCAACTGGAAGACAAGCTAATTCCCTGTTTCTAAACGAGTTGCAACTTTGTGAGTTGCAGTGGGCGCATCGAAAGCACTTTGTGTAGTTTCAGCACCTACAACCAGATTACACATTTGCTTCTTGATTACCAATTAAAAACCCAACCCAACAGTTCAGACCTGTGACCTCTCATCTGAACTGGACGAAGTTAGAAATGCAAGTGAAAGGGTGAGATAATAAACAATGAGATGGGTCTGTGATAGGGTGGAGGGCAGGACAAAATGAACAACAGAAGCTTTCTTGGTGCAACCTCAGAAGGGGGTAGTAAGGGAGGTCAGAATGGCAGAATCCTGAATTGAAAGCAAAGGAAATAAGAGAGACCCAAGAAAGGGAAAAAAGGCCAGCAAAGAGAACAAAATGGGACAATAGGGACACAAAATCCTATCGAGCACTGGTTATGACTGAGGACAAAAATTTACACCATTTTCTCCCGAGTGGTTACAATGTGGGATGGTTCTCTCCCGAGTGGTTACGGTGTGGGGTGGTTCTCTCCTGAATAGTTACAATGTGGGGTGGTTCTCTCCCGAGTGGTTACGGTGTGGGGTGGTTCTCTCCCGAGTAGTTACGGTGTGGGGTTGTTCTGTCCCGAATGGTTACAGTGTGGGGTGGTTCTGTCCCGAATGGTTACAATGCGGGTGGTGGGTGGGAACAGGATCCAGACAGCTTCTGAGTACATGTTGAAGAATGTGTGTTGAAAAGTTCTGAGATTCAGAGCTTCATCCCAAAGTTGGGATTCTCAATTTTGTTTTGAAATCACCTTGAGATAAATTGCACAGATTTGGAATCTCCTGTTAAATGCCGAGGACAAGATCAGCTGACACTGGCCATGGTTTAGACAGAGGCACGTGAAAATTGAGGCCTGATAATCAGCATGCTTTGTCAGTCAGGGCCTTGGAAATTTATTCTAGAGTGATCAGTGTAGTGGGAAAAGTCTGGACAGGGATGTTCCTGCTGCTTTGGGAATAGGTTTTTCTAACATCCTGTACAAGGAGGGGTCTTTCAGGCAACACAATGGACAACTCAAGGGTAGTATTGAATCAGAGATAGTAGGAACTGCAGATGCTGGAGAATCCGAGACAACAAGGTGCAGGGCTGGATGAACACAGCAGGCCCAGCAGCATCATAGGAGCAGAGGGGCGGACGTTTCGGGCCTAGACCCTTCATCAGAAAAGGGGAGGGGGGGGGGGGAGGGGGAGGGGGTTTTGAAATAAATAGGGAGAGAGTCCTCTCCACCTATCCGCCTCCCACTCTCTCCCTATTTATTTCAAAACCCCCTTCCCCTCCCCCTTTTCTGATGAAGGGTCTAGGCCCGAAACGTCAGCCTCTCTGCTCCTATGATGCTGCTTGGCCTGCTGTGTTCATCCAGCCCTGCACCTTGTTGTCTCGGACAACTCAAGGGCACATTTTGACTTCAGTCCTTGTACAGTGATGCAAATACAAATTGAGACAATATCAGACAACAATGGTTTAAAAACTTAGTTTTATTGCAGAGTGTACATCAGGCAACAACACTCCTCAGTGATTATGTAAGTGTGAATAATTCTGAATAAGTTTTGCACCTTAAATCTGAACTCCAGATCAGAGGAGAGTCTCACTCCAAGATGGTCAAACCTGGATTTACCTTTTCAATGTAGGTCATACTGTTAGTAATGGATAGATCCTACATTAGGTACTCAAACAACTGAGAGCCTGTGTCTGTCACACATGCTCTGGGACCCTCACAGGTCAGTAAAATGGTGTCTGATGTGGCTCAGTGGTAGCATTCTTGCCTGAGTCAGAAAGGTCCTGGGTTCAAGGCCCACTTCAGGGACTTCAGCACAGAATCAAGGCTGACCCTCCCAAGGGAGCACTGCACTGTTGACAGTGCCAACTCTGAGAGGAAACATTTAGCAAGGCCTCATCTGTCTGTTCAAGTTGATGTAATATATCCTTCAATATTACGCAAAGAAAAGTAGAGGAGTTAGTCTCCCTTCCACTTTTGCCTTTCTCGCAATATCCATCCCCTCTGTTTCCCTCCACAGGATGGGGGGAGTGCTTCCTCTTTTTAGTTTTTAAGTAACAACTTAAGATGGAGGTATTTTAGTGTTTCTTCCGGAAGTTAAAATTCTCTGAAATCACATGACCTACAGAGTTCTGAGAGGACTTTCACTATTGTGATGAATGTTGGGATAATGCCCCTCCATAGTAATTATTAATTCAATCATGTTCTTCAGCAAGAGGAATAAACAATTTATGAACAGAGCTCTGGTGAGCAATAGGATGGGATCGTAACAAGGTTATGGGATCTTTACCCTATATCCAACCTGTGCTATTCCTGCCCTGGGAATGTTTGATGGGACAGTGCAAGGAAGAGTTTTCTCTGTATCTAATCTGTGCCCAGGAGGTCTGTGACTGAGTTTGGGAATGCTGAGGTTCCCACTCTGAACGTTTAAACAAAAACAGAATTGCTTAAACAGTCTCTAATTGGATAGTGCCACAGGACGATGATTCCCAATCTTAACAATCACAAAAATATTGAAAATCTAATTTACATAACACAGTGAAGAACTATCAGGTGAGTCTTGATGCTCAGACACAGTGACTTGAATGAAGGTAGAAAATGAATATAAGCACCTCTGTACATCTATTGTGCAATCACCAGCCACAGAATCCCATCGTACTTGACTTTGTAATCTATATGTTTGAAGAGATTGTCTCTCTGGTTTTAGCTGGTCTGTTCTCAGAGTGTATTGGCCAACATTACAGGATGAGTTTGGCCTGTTTATTTCTGTGTTTCCTTCTATCAACCATTACACAGTAAAACACTGGCTATGAATGTACTAGTTGTGTGTGTGTGTGTTTGTGTGTATACAAGTGTGTGTGTGTGTGTGTGTGTGTGTGTATCTGTGTGCGCACATGTCCATTTGTCTGTAGTTGTGTGAATCACAGGTTTCCATAGATGATTTTTGGACAGGTCTCTGGCGCTATACAATGAGATTCATGTTCCACCAGACCAGCAGGACACTGACAGCCCGGAACACAAGGCTTGAAGCAGTGAGCATCAATCACTCCCAGAGGAACATCTTTGTTAAAACAGGTCTTAGGGCATGGAGGGCCACATTCATCAAACACGTAACCACGATCAGAGGGGCAACCAACCGCTGCAGACAGAGAGGGAGACAGAGAGAGACAGAGAGAGCACAGTCCAGTTAGCAAGCTGATTACTTTTATTACTTTAATATTGCAATGTGCCTGATCCATCCCACTGTAGGTAAATCATAAAGTAACTGGTTGCACTGTTACACTGAACTGCTCCCTCACTATCTGCTCCTGTTATTTTTATATTATTTAACCCTGTCACACAGTCCCATTCCATTGATCAATGCCTGAGACTGCCTGCCAAACGGTCTTTCAGAAATGACCAAGTATCAGGGTCAACAAGGTCACTTTCACCCTATGGGAGGTCAGGCTGAATCCAGTCCCAGTCAGAGGGGCTGTCAGTCATCGTGTGAAATGAGTTGCTATGACTACTGGCTCTGAATCAGCAAACTACCTCCGAGAGAACACAGGTCCTGCTCCTTCTCTTTGAACTGCTCCTTCGCCAATCATTTGAAAGTTGTCTGGGGAGGGGGGGGAAGGGGTGGAGTTAAAAGAGGTCTCTGGATTCGAGTAGACAAACGAGAACATACCACATAGTGTTGGTGATCGCCAGTTCAGGACAAGCGAAGCCTCTCGACACTGAGACGCATAAGCCTCCAAAGCATCGCACAAGCAGTCGTCAATATTAGAACCACAGGCGCACAGGTCATAGACACAGGAGCTGAAAAACATCTCGGGTGGCACAACTGCATGACACTGCTCAAAGACCTTGGACTTCAGGATCTTGCACTTGGCATTGGCCTCTTTGCGAGCTCGATAACCCGCCTGTTTACAGGGGTCAATGTCTTCAGCGTCTGAACACTGTGGCCTGCTCTGGTTGTTACTGTGTACCTGCAGGGATGACACACCAACACAAACATGGTGAATGTAACTTGGTGACATCGGGCACACGTCAGCCTCAAAGTCCAGCATGCCTCTCTAACCCAGTTCAGTGCCATGTTGGACAAAAAGAATGGCCTGGGGGTGAAGGAAAGGAATGGGGGGAGGTGGGGGAAGGGTGAGGGGTGTTGGTGGCAGAGAGGGTAATCAGAGAGGTTCAGAAAAGTCTAGTCACAGGAGGCATTTGATGTTGGAGCACAGTAACAGACAGGGATCAGAACAGTAAATGGGGACACTGGGCTTCACTACTAGGCTTCCACAAGTGAAAAGGGGAAGTTCTGTGACAGAAAGTATTGCCTAAAGCTCAATGGAATACTCCTGAAGGTTCAGGACACCTATCTTACCAGGAGACTTACTCTGTAATTAATCTGTGCTATATTTATCCTGGGACAGTTTATTAGGGGTCATGTAGAAGGAACTTTATCCTGTACCTAACCCATTCTGTACCTATCAAATATATAAAATTGCCTCTGAAGCTTCTTAATGTTTGAAATATTAATTGTTCTCAAATTGAATTACTTGCCTTTACTTTGGTATACGCCTTTCAATTTGGCCTGCTGCATTGGTGTTCCACACTCCCTGAAAGATTAGCTGTGAACAATGTGCATGGGCTCAATACTGACTGTTGACACACATTCTCCCAGGGGTGAATGATCTGTGAGATTTAGTAACTGAGTGTAATACAAAGCTCATTGGTCTGGTGTGAGTCTGTTTGATACTTGTGTTTTGGTCACTCCATTCCAGTTCTGTCTGATCTTAATGCTCTCTTTCTCCTCAGAGTCTGAGGTTGTGAGCTCAAGCCCCATTCTAGATTCCTGAAGATATAATCGAGTGTAACATTCCCAATGCAATCTGTATAGGATCCCGCACAGCTGAAAGCACCATGTTACAGATGAGACAATGAACTGAGGCTCCATTTACCCTCTCAGTTAGATGTACAAATCCCAAAACAGCATTTTGAATGAGAGGGGAGATCTCCCTGGTATCCTGGTCAATGTTTATCCTTCACTGGCATCATTAAAGCAGACATTCTGGTTCTGAACACATTACTGTTCTTCCTACACTACCACACTGACCACATTTGGCAAGTGGGGTATTTTGGGATGCTCAAAGATGCAGGCTCTGTCCTTTTCCCTTTCTTGGGAAGTGGGCATCAATGGCAAAGTCAGCATTTATTGCCAATCTCCAATTGCTCCTGAATTGAATCTGTGGGCATAAAGAGTCAGCCACATTGCTGTGGGTCTCGAGTCACATGTAGGCCAGACCAGGTAAGGATGGCAGTTTCCTTCCCTGAAGGACATTTGTGAACCAGATGGGTTTTTAAGACAATCAACAATGGATTCATGGTTAGTTTTAGACTAGCTTTTAATCCCAGACTTTTATTATGTAAATTCAAATGTTGCTATCCATTGTGGACAGATTCAAACCCACACCCTCAGACAAGAAGCCTGTGGCTCTGGGCTACTCACCCAGTGACAATAACACACTGCAGCCCCCTTTCTGTCCTTTTCCCGTTGTTTGAATGAATGCACTTGCCGTGAAACTGGCTGCTAATGTAGAAAGTATCCAATCTTTGCCCTCCACCAGTGAGGGTTACATTATTAGTAGCTGGATTTCAGATACTCCGTACAAGTGATTGCACGCACACACAGCTTCAATCATAGTCGCCCTCAGGACCCACCTTCCAGCTGTTACCAAACGTTGCCTCAGAGGTGACAATCTGCCCACTGCGGATCCGCATGTCATCCTGGGGGTAGTTGTTGAAGTTCCCACAAAGCCCACACACCTGCCCTTTGTACGTTCCAGGCAAGCTCACTTCTAAATGAGATTTCCCATTCCACAAGACCTGTGTGAAACAACAGATATTTACAGATCCAAGCAATAAGCTCAAAGATGTTCCACAGTGCAGAAGCAGTACAGAGGGCATGCTGCAGCAGGAGCGGTACAGAGGGCACACCGCGCTGCTGCAGGAGCAGTACAGAGGGCACACCGTGCGGCTGCAGGAGCAGTACAGAGGGCACACCGTGCGGCTGCAGGAGCGGTACAGAGGGCACACCGTGCGGCTGCAGGAGCGGTGCAGAGGGCACACTGCTGCAGGAGCGGTGCAGAGGGCACACTGCTGCAGGAGCGGTGCAGAGGGCACACCGCTGCAGGAGCGGTGCAGAGGGCACACCGCGCTGCTGCAGGAGAAGTACAGAGGGCACACCGCGCTGCTGCAGGAGCGGTACAGAGGGCACGCTGCTGCAGGAGCGGTACAGAGGGCACGCCGCGCTGCTGCAGGAGTGGTACGGGGGCACGCCGCGCTGCTGCAGGAGCGGTACAGGGGGCACGCTGCTGCAGGAGCGGTACAGGGGGCACGCTACATTGCTAACTTCCGAGAGAGAAAATATCGTAGGGTACTACACTGAAGAAGAGGAGAGATTTTCCCTCCAGTGTTGTGGCCAATATTTCCTGTTAATCAACATCTCAAACAGATTATCACACTGCTGTACGTGGGAGCTTGCTATGCACAATTTTGTTGCTTCCTTTTCCATATTAGAACAGTGGTCAGAATTAAAATATTCAATTGACTAAAAGTCATTTGAGAAGCTCCGTGCTGGGACAAGGACTATATAAACGTACATGCTTTTGAATGGTGATTTTGGACTGAAACCACACCGCACAAGCCGAGTACTCTCCCAAAGTGTTTCAGTCTGATTCTCTGGAATGTTACCATGCCCCATTCCTTATCCCCAGCTTTCCACAGCTCTCTGGGAGAAGGTTGTTCAGCTCTCAGTGAAGCTGGAGTGAGGACAGATACAGATTCCATAGTACTGCAACTACAGAGATGGGAATCTTCAACTCTGTTTCGAATCCATCAGCTACCTCTCCATTTCCCTTTCTGAACCGATCTCTGTGCTCCCTCTAGTTTCTACCCTGGGTGACAGGCCAGTGAAATCTGTGGGTGGTGGTCTGGGTTCTCTCAGTAGCTGTCAGCTCTCCCCTCAGCCCTCATGGCCCAGTAAGCATGGCTTGGGTTAATGCCTCTCTAAGGCCCGTGCAGCAGCTGGGATGGGGGCCTGAGTCACTGGACCCTCACCTTCACACCGATGTTGGTGTTGAGCAGGATGCTGTTGGCTCTCCTCTCAATGTAGATGTATGGCTCCTTGAGAAAAGGCAGAGACACGCTGCGATCGTCCACCTGCAAACAAACAGACAATTCACACAACACCACCGGTGAGTCGAGAACCAGGAATGAGGAGAGTTCACACTGTGACAGGCCACTGTGGAATGACACATCAGTGACTGGGTAAACCTCTCACACCAATACAATTCAACCTGAAATGAGCTGCTGTCATAGACCAGGGTTCAGATTGTAACTCTGTGACCCCAGGATCACACAGGCCCCTAGGCCCAGGTTAAAACCAATGCCTTGCAGTAATGTCCCATTCTTAACAGCAGAATCTCCATTACAGCACTCTCTCAAACTACACACCATCCTCAGTATAAGGCTCTTCATTGTTAACCCTTCGGTTACTGAGCCGTGACAAATTCTGTTTGGTTACCGAGCTGTGACAAATTCTGTTTGGTTACCGAGCTGTGACAAATTCTGTTTGGTTACCGTGACGAGCCAGTCTTGGAGAAGTTGGACAATCAGGTCCCCGATCAGCACTGTCACCTCCTTAGTCCATGACACTCCCGTCCGACCTCGATCATCGTTGGTCACATGGATACTGTGGAGACAAGGTCAGATGTTGAGAGGGCGAGAGACAGGCAAAACACAAGAGGGAAAGAGAGAGATAGTAGAAACTGCAGATGCTGGAGAATCCGAGACAACAAGGTGCAGGGCTGGATGAACACAGCAGGCCAAGCAGCATCATAGGAGCAGAGAGGCTGATTTCGCCAGTGACAGGCTCAGAGAGAGAGAGAGATTAAAAATACGAGTGAGGAAGAGTGAATGCAAATAGAAAGGGAATGAGACTGAAAGACAGAGGTGGGAGGTTAAGAGGAATCTAGTGACAGAGGAATGCAATGTACAGTCAAGGGGGACTAGAAAGCAAGAAAGAGAGGGATGGAGAGAACATGAGAGAGACGGACAAAGTGAGATATGAAGACAGAGAGACACACAGACAGGGCTATGTCAGGTGACCATTCTCGGAGCAATGCAGCTTAATGGTGCCTGTTGGAGACACTCACCTGAAGTCTCCTCCTTTACAGTCTTCCGCCAGAACATAGCTGCACGCCCCCTGGAAGTGGATCATCTTTCCGTCAAAAGTCAGGTAGTGGGGGTCACCGAACACCATACAAGTGGCAGGGCGAGGAATGCAGTGAGGGCAACACATTCCTGGGATCAGCACTGGGCTCTCATCCTAAACAGAGAGAGAGAGAGAGAGAGAGAGAGAGAGAGAGCGAGGCAAGGAGAAAGCTCACACTTTCTGTACCTACCCCATTACTCATCACCAATTCTTCCAATTCTTCCCCATTCACTCCAGGTATTTGTTATTCTGAATATAAACCTCCTGAGCTCCTTGATTAGATTTCAGTCTAGAATTCACCCCTGGGTACCTGTTATTTTGTGCATAAACCTCCTGAAGCCCTTGATTGGATTCCAGACTGTAACTCACCCCCACCCCGGTATCTTTCATCCTGTACAATCTAATTCAAGTACACAGATTGTGACTGTACTGACTTTACCCTGGAATTCTCTGAATGGTAGGCCTGACCCGAGCTCCTGCTCTGGTATATAAAGTACCCACCCCTACGCCAGCCCCTCCCTGAACATACCGATGAACAGGTAACTGGTGGGCAGTGCTCGGTTTGACAGTGAACCTCCCCAGAGATACAGGTGCAGGTGGTACATTCATCCACTTCCCAGTGTTGGTTCGACTGGTACTTCTGTCCCTGGTAGCTGCAGGAAATCCGGGGATCTGTAGACAGGATGAAGCTCAGAGATAGCAGTGAAAAAAATAAATCCCCGTGCCTTGAGAATCTCCTGAAAGGTAAACCCTGGCTCCCTCTCCACCTGGATCGATGCTCGGGTCAGTTCAGGGGCATACACACTAACTGGGCTGCATGGAGTGAGCTGATTGTGTTTGGGGGAGCTGGGAATGATCTGAGGTCAGGGGTGGATTAGCTGGCGATGGCCAATGAGCCACACTGAGATCACTCAGGATTAGATGGGTGACCAGCAGGAGGCGCCCTGTTCCTCAACACTGTCTATGGGTGGAAATGTGCATCACAAGTGCATCACTGCGTCTGATAATCACAAATGAGAATGCCTGAAATCTGGGACTTATACTCCAGAGGGTGTCAGTTAATTAAGAGAGAAACTATTCCAATGGTCTAGCAATGTACCATTATCCATAAACATCAGCTCAACTAACACGCTGCTGCCTATATTCTGACTGTGATCACTGACCTACTCTGGGTGCCAACGCCTCGATTACAAAATTCACATCTCTCCCTTCACATCTCCTGTGTGCACTCAGTTATTTCCTCGGAACCTGGATGCTGGAGATGTGAGGACTCTGCAGCGCTGTTACATCTCAGGAATATTAGAATTGCGAGATGGTAATGGACCAAAGTGTATGTGGATCACCCTCTCACAATCCAAGCAGAAGGAAGTGGTTGACTAATAATAGCAGAGTCACGGACAGATATTGAATCAAGTCTGCAACCACATTTCAGAGAAGCATAAAAATAACAGAAGCTTGAACACATACCAAGAGGTTGAAGAACAACTTTTTCCCCGCTGTTATTAGACAGCTGAGTGGACCTCTCTAATTTTAAACCTAATGTTGATTTTGCTATTGTGCACCTTCTGTGCAGCTGTAACCCTGTATGCCTCGCTTTGTCTAAACAGCCTCTGATCTGTATGTCATGATCTGCCTGCACTGCTCACAACACAAAACTTTTCACTGTACTCAGGTACATGTGACAATAATAAACTAAATCAAATCAAATAATGAGGCTGTGATAGTTGGGGATATTTTAACGACCCAAATATTAACTGGAATCATTTTAGTGTGCAAGGTAGGGAGAGAGCAAAATTCTAAACCTGCATAGAGGAGAACATTTTTAGCCAGGATATAGAAAGTTCAACGAGGGAGGGGTCAGTTCTGCACCTAATGTATACAAATGAGCCTGGACTAATGGAAGGTGTATCAGGAGGCAGCGTTTTGGATTTTAATGAATGAATGTATTAGCTTTATTGTCACATGTAGTCACATGAGTAGTGAGAAGTTTACAAGTTTACGGTGCCATCTTAGGTACAAAGGTACCTTGGTGCAGATTCTTAGGTACAAATTCTTAGGGGGGAAAAAAGAAAAGAAGAAAATAAAAAGTCCAGCATTACAAACCTCCAAAAGTACAAAATTACAGCAATAAATTAGAAAAAAAAGAAAAAAGTTCAGAATAACAGTCCTTCCACAAATGTAATACTAAAAAAAATTTTAAAAAAGAGAAATGATTTTGATTCATGGCTCTGGGCTCCAGGACCTAGGCCCCCATTGGAATTCCAGGCTGGACCCCCACAATGTGGAAGGAAATGCACATGGAGTCACTGGCTGATGCTGAAGCTGCCGCAGAGACACTATAACTCGGTTCAGTTCTGGATAAGTTACGGAAAAGGAGAAGGATGGGCCAGGAACTGGAGTTCTAAACAGGGGAAAGGCTAATTTTACTAAGGGTAAGATATAATTTGGACCAAATGAATTGGGAGCAGCTACTTGCAGATAAAACTGTGTCAGAGCAATGGGATGCATTCCAGGAGGAAATAGCATGAGTATAGGGAAATACCATCCCGAAAAGACCAAGGGCGGGACCAGCACCAGGGAATCCTGGAAGTCAACAGGGATACAAAGGTTAGGGTAATACTAAAGAAAGAGCCTTCTGGTACATACCAAGGGTTCCTACTCCCCAAAGAAGTATAAGAAATATGGGGTACAGTGGTGGTTGTTGGGGGGGGCGGGTATCCAAGAAGGAAATTCCAAAGGGTTTTAAAAAGCATTCATGAACTACAAGAATAGCTAGGGAAAGAGTAGGACCCATTGGACAGCAGACAGGTAATCGGGGTGTGGATCTGGAAGAAAGTTCTCAATGGATACTTTACATCAGTCTTTACAAAGAAAAAATGGTGACACAATTATAGACATCAGGGTGAGGGACTAAGGACTATTTGAAGAAATGATACATATATATTAGACATATATTTTTATATATATTTAGAGACAGAGTTGGTGAGGGTAGGTTCTGTTGGTTTTAGCAGCTTTAAAACTGAACAGATGTGCAGGCCTGGATGAGATGTAGCCCAGGCTATTGACGGGGACAAGAGAGGAGATATTATGGCTCTGGCAGTAATTTTCAAACCCTCTCTGGCCACGCGTGAGGTGCCAGCAGACTGCTAATGTTATCCCATGATTTAAAAATTCGGAGGAAGGGATAAACCAGGAAATTACAGGCCTGTCCGTCTAACCTCCATGGTGGGGAAGTTGTTAGAGATGATCCTGAAAGTACATCTGCACTTTGAGGTGGTCAGCTTGGGTTTGTTACGGGAAGGTTATGTTTGGAAATGATTGGTGGAGGTTTTTTTTTGAGGAGATAACCAGAAACATTGATGAGAGTGCTGTGTTTATTGTGGATGTGGCCTTTAGCAACGTAACTCAAGGCAGACTAGTCAGGAAAATAACAGCCCATGTGATCCAAGGCACAAAAAAGTTTGACATGTCCTTTGCACTAAGGAGGGGTTGCTCTATGGATAAGCTGCAGTTTCTGAAATAATCAAACTAATTCTGAAACCAGCTTATTATCCAGCAAATGGGTAGCTGTAAGATTGTCTCTAGGCTCTCAGCCTCTGCAATTGCTCGATTCTCCTCCTGGCTGATATCCTGATTATCTGCCTCATTTTCAACATCACAAGACTATCCTCGATCCTCCATTTTATTCATATCCAGGGTATTCACCCAACCCAGGCCCCAGCTCCTTGACAGCTCAAGTTGTGAAGAGTACAGCACACCATAATCATGAGGGCCATCCTGTCTGGGCCCCGCCACTGCATTCCAAGCATGAGACTGCATCTTTAGGAAGCTTACAGTGTGTTCCACTTTGTCCCTGGTGGAAGGGTGAGCAGCATCTTTCATTGTGCATCTGCCTGCATTTTCTTTTTGAAAAGCTGTCACGTGCGATGTTCGAAGGGGTCCTCCTGGTCTCTGTATTGGCCCAGCACCCTGGAAACAGGCAGGACACCTTGAAATGCTGCAGCGGGTGAGAGTCATGGCAGCTCTCAGGATATTTGATGCAGAGCTTTGAAATGTGGTTTTGATAGTCACAAATTATTTGGACATTGACAGAGTAGAATCCTGTCCTGTCCTGTTCTGTTCTGTTCTCAAATATTACAGGTTGATGATAGGCCACTCTCAAAGCAACATGGGTGCAATCAATATTACCTTGGCCCTGGGACAAGCCAGCAACGGGTAGAGAATTTCAATGCTCTCACTGCTTGGCTTTCACTGACAAGGGGGAAGCATATGACGAGGTGAGCTCTGGTGAAACTGGCATCAGTTACACCCCAGATGCACTGATGGGTCAAGGTGCCAACGAGATCACCAGTTGCTTCCTAAAACAAGCCACTGGCATATAAATCAAGAGCAGCTTTGACAGCCACTAGGATGGGATTGTGACCCAGTCCTTGTGAATGTATGTCCTCTTTCAGCAGATGGCGTCTCTGAGATGGTGGAGTGGGACATCCTTAATCTTCACCATCCCTGTTGTTCAGGGATTTGTAGATAACTGCAGCAGAGCCTTCGTTTCCACCATTTCCCTGCAACTCCTCAGTGGATCTTCACTTGCTGTGTCTCCCTCTGGAAGCTCCTGCTCTTGTAGCCGCTGTCTCCTTCTCCAGTTTCTTGAGCAAGGTCACAAGACCACAGTGCATTGCACTGGGCATTTCAGTTTGGTTAGGAGGTGGTCAGAGAGGGCAAAATCAGAGAGATCACGCAACATTACTGAAGGGACATCTCTGAGCTCTCATGTTCATACCAATAAAGCTTAATACTCCCGCCCTCACATAGGGTGATGTGGAGGCTTCCCAAGGAGCTCATCATGATGCCTCAACATTGAGCTCTATGGTATGTGACTGCATCCAATTGCACAGGGGACACCCACACGGTCTAGGGCTCCACTGGGAGTAGACTCCAACCTATAATCCACCAAAACCTCCCTCCCATATCACAGTCCATGTTCTTGCTCAGCTGGAGCAGTACTGCAACACTCACTACTGGGAACATCAGGTTCTGCTTTAAGATCATCAATGTAAGATGATTTGTTGAGCTTACATGACAAAAGAAGCAATCAATACACACAAGATAATGCTTATGATTGCTTGAGAACACAGTTTGTTATCTATAAGCTTTGACAATTACTGTCCTCCAGGTGAAGTGGAAAGTGAAGGCAAACGGAAAGCAATGCTAAATCAGTGAAGGCATGGTTAATGCAAATGTCCCTTGTAGGGCCTCAAGATCAAAGTAGGGCCCTCCACCCCACAGAAGAAAATGATTACTTACTCCTCCAATGCGCATGCATCTCTTGCCCGTGTGTGAAGTTATTGTATAGTTTACTTTTGATCTGACATGAAAAAACTCAAACTTTATCCTGGTGACAGCAACTTGTGGCACACATTTCTCTCCATTCTTCATGTTCCCTTGTGTAATGCTGTCCCTGTGGCCTCAAAGACCCTTCAGCCTCCCTCACTTTGGGCTGAGCCCCTTTACATCACTACAAATTGGTCCATTTTGCCTCCGGAGGGTGCTATTCTGCTGCTGGACCAACACCTTCCCCATGTAGAGGCCAGAGTAACAGTGATCTGATTGAATCAAACCCTGCAGCCCCTACTTGGAAAGCTTCCAGTCCCCAGTGTGAGGTTCTCCCCCCTATTATCCTTAACTGGCCCCTATCACTGTGGCCGTTTCCTCACTGACCCAGTACAATGAAACTCGTTCCTAGACTTGATGTGCCCACTTCCCCAATACCATGGTCTTGACCCGAAAGGACCCCTGATGTTAGAAACCATACACTCCATGACTGACCATGGCTCACCCAAATGGACTGATCTCTCAAATGGACCTCCCCAAATGACCTACCTGTCATTGCAGACTGCTTGCACTCAATCTGCAGGACTGTTCTTGGCCCAATCCATCTACTGGAAGGACACAAATCCCAAGATCGCTTAGGACTAAATGCCTGACTGCGCCAAATCCTTGGACTGTAATCAGACAAGGCCCTTGATGTGACTGTGACAGTACCTCAGATTGCGTGTAGCCCACCCTCACCCCACCAGGCACTCACCCCTTTGACAAGCTAACCCACAGATATCTCGAAGTAAGCACCCAAGGTCTTGTGGACTAACAAGAAGCCTAAGATGCAGAAGATGCCTGGTCCATGTCAGAGCAAGGAATCCCATACAGAGGTCTGTCTGGCCGTCTCTGAATGCATTGGAGAAGCCTACTGGTAGAGGCCTTCACTACCACTCACCTCCTGAGCAGGTGCTTGAAGCCCTGAGGTTGTGGCTGAGTTAGACTGAGACAGAATATGATGATGATGATGCCGTGAGACTGGGCCTTTGAGGATGGAGGGTTCAGGAAGAACATACTCTCTGACCAAGGAAGGAGTTGTAGAGAACATGTGGTTCCATGAAAAGAGAAGCTGAATGTGCCAATCTGAGAGCGGCAATGGGCACTAATGGGGCAATTCACCAGGTACCCGCTCTGTTTGCTTAGTTGAGATTTTAATCTTGTTTCTTGATGGAAAGGAAAACTGGAAGTGCAATATGAACATGGCAGGTATTAATGAATATGAATGCATGGAAATGTACCACTAGTGGGCAAGATTCTGAACTCACCATTTAATGCTCAAGGACAAAATCAGGTGAATATTTCTCAATGTGGCGTATCTGTTTTTGTTTTCCCCCCGACTCTTGTCTCAGGAGTTATAGAGCTGTACAGCATGGAATCAGACCCTTCAGTCCATCTTGTCCATGCTGACCAGGTATCCTAAATAAATCTACTTCCATTTCCCAGAATTTGGCCCATTTCCCTCTAAACCCGTCCTATTCATATACCCTTCCAGATGCCTTTTAAATGCTGTAATTGTACCAGCCTCCACCACTTTTTCTGCCAGCTCACTCCCTACACACACCACCCTCTGCATGAAAAAGTTGCCCCTTAGGTCCCTTTTAAATCTTTCCCCTCTCCCATTAAACCTATGCCCTCTAATTTTGGACTCTCCCACCCCAGGGGAAAAGACCCTGTCCATGCCCCGCATGATTTTATAAACCTCTATAAGGTCACCCCTCAGCCACCGGCACTCCAGGGAAAATATTCAGCCTCTCCCTATAATTATGATTTAGTCATCTTGCTTACCCTTATTTTTGTCACACCAGGGAGGGGATATTCTGCCCATGGTGACAAATAGTAAACCCCAACCTTGACCCTACATCCCAGTTACCTTGGCATTCATAGCAGCATTGCCCTGGAGAACGGACCTTGATCAGACCATCATGACAGGTAACAGAGAGACATTCCTCAATATGGCACTCAATGTGTCCGAGCTATAACAGACCAAACAAAAGTAAGCATTAGAAAGGACGGTAATTGTGTGTTTGTGGGAGACTATGAGAAACTGATGGACCGTAACAGAGACAGTGAAAGAGAAACTGTAACAGAGAGAGAGAAAGAAATAATGAGAGAGAGAAAGCGAGAGAGAGAGAGAGAGCGAGAGATGCTGAAATTACAAGACGGAGAGAGAAAGTAACTGTGATGGAGGGAGTGAGTATGTGTGTAACCTACGTTGCAGGAACATGTTATGCATTCATCGACAGAATCGGTCCAGGTTTCACCATCAGAAACACGCCGGTTTTCAGCCTCAATAACACATTCTGCAGATTGAACAGGGAAAGAGTAAGATCAGGAACACAGTTGGTTAGATACAGTGTAAGGTTGTCTCTGCACCATCCCATCAAATACTCCCAGGGCAGCTACAGCATGGAGTTAGATATCAAGTGAAGTTCCCTTTACACTAAGGCTAGGCAGAAATCATGAACCTTGCTATTACTCCTGTTTCTGGCCCCTTATTGCCCACCTCCACATCCTTTGTTATTAAATCAAAAGAAAATAAACAGTGTGGCAAAGATTATTAGTAAATCAGAGGATTGGTGAATTTTTAAAAGCTAATAAAAGATGACCAAAAACCGAGGAACAAAATAGCAAGCACCATAAAAACAGATAGCAAGAGCTTCTTTAAATATATGAACAGGAAGAGAGAAGCCAAAGTTAACACAGGCCCCTTAGAGAATGAGGCAGAAGAAACAATAATGGGGAACTAGGAAATGGCAGAGGAGGTGAATTAAATACTTTGCATCAGTCTTCACCATGGAAAATATGAACAACATTGCACAAACACTAAATAATCAAGAGGCAAAAGGCAGAGAGGATGTAAATGTAATAACTACCATGAGAGAAAAATACAAAGGAAAATAATGGGGCTAAATGTCATTCGAGTATAAGTTTTCTGGTCTTGATGGGTTACATTCTAGGGATACTAAAAGGAGTAACTAATGGATGCACTGGTAGTAGCCTTCCAAGAAACCTTTGATTGTGGGAAAGTCCCAGATGATTGGAAAACTGCCAATATAGCACTCTTATTCAAAAAGGGAGGGAGACAAGAAACAGATAACTGTAGATCAGTTAGCTTAACCTCTGCAATTGGAAACATGTTAGAATCTAATAGAAAGGATGTACTAGCAGCACGTTTAGAAATGCATAATATAATCAAACAGAGTTAACAAGGCTTCATGAGGGGAAATCATGCTCGACAAGTATTATTTTGAGGAGGCAACAGGCAGAATAGATAAAAAGGTAGCCAGTATATGTCATGTATTTGGATTTTCAGAAGATGTTGTGTCAGGTACCACACATTAGGCTACTTAATAAGATAAGAACCCATGATGTTAGGAGCTGTAAATATGCATGAATAGAGGATTGGCTAATGAACAGAACTCGGATTTGGAATAAAAGAAGCATTTTGGGATGGCAACTTCTACCTAGTGGTGCTGTGGTAATGCTATGGCTTTGAGAGATGGATTTTGTCCTCAGATTTTTTTTATGAAGGTTGAGATCAGAGGTCTGCTTCAAAGCCCATAAAGCAAACAGTTTGAGAAGCCTTGGGTTTTTTTTTCTAAGGTTGGAACACTAGGAGCAGCCTGAATGGGTGGGGTCAACCTCCCACAGAACCAGGATTTTCAGTTTTAGTTTCAGTAGCAGCTGTTGCTGGGCTTCTGAAGCTGGGTTTGGAAGCTGCAGTACATCTCACCCTGCTACTCTCTCTCTCCGTTTTCTCTTAATATTTTTCCTCCTGGACTGGAGAATTGCCTGTCAGGCAATCTATTTTTCTGAACATGCCTTTTGTCAAAGGTATGCCAAAGGTTGATACTATATTGGATCAGCTTAGAAACTGTTTAGTAGTTAAATAACCTATTATTTGGTTAAGTTTTCCAGTAGAGTTAAGTTATTCCAACTGCTTCTTTCTTTTGTTGTATTTTAACTATAGTATATGAATAAAGTGTGTTTTGCTTAGAGCCGAATAGTCTAACCAATTGAATTGCACTTAGAATGCAATGCGTTCCATTAACCTCTAAAATAAAAAGAAGTTAGGCTCTAGACTTAATATGCTTTGAGGGGATTTGGTCTGGTCCAAAGCAGTGTGCCAGAGGGATCACGAGCCACAATTTTTTACAATATGTATTAATGGCTTGGATCGAGAAAAGTAACTATACCACAGCCGAGTTTGTGGACGACATAAAAGCACAAGGAAGGCAAGTAGTGAGGATGATGAAACAAGTCTGCAGAGGGCTACACACACAGTAAGTGAATGGGCAAAAATTTGGCAGATGGAATACAATGAAGGGAAATGTGAGAATAGAGGAACTATAAATTATTTAATTGGAGAACAACTGCAGAAAGCTGCAGCACAGAGGGATTTGGCAGTCCTCATGCATAAATCACAAACAGCCAGCATCTAAGTTCAGTGGACAATAAGGAAAGCAAATGGGATGATGGCCTTGAATTCAAAGGCAAAAGAGTGTAAAACTAAGGAAATCTCACTAAAACTATACAAGGCACAAGTTAGGCTAAACCTAGAATACCATGAACATCTCCTAAAATTGGAGGCAGTTCAGATTTGGTTCACTAAGTTGATCCCGGTTATGGAGGGATTGTCTTGAGGATAGGTTGAGGGGGTCGGGCCTGTAGTCATTGGAGTTTATAAAAATGAGAGGCAACCTGTTTGAAATATATTAGATTTGTAGGGGCTTTGATATGGAGAGGTGGTTTCCCCTTATGCCCTGAGGTCTAGACCTCAGGGCATAATCTCAGAGAATAGTGAATCTGTGGAATTCTTTACCACAGAGGGCTCAAAAGGCTGGGTCATAAAGTATATTCAAGGCTGAAACAGAGATTCCTTTTTCATTAAAGGAATCGGGGGTATGGGGAAGTGGCATGAAAATGGAATTGAGGAATATCAGACCAACCGTGATCTCACTGAATGGTGGGCCAAACATAGTGGGCTGAATGACCTACTTCTCCTCTCGTATATTACGTGTGCTCACAGTTGGGATCATTAATCACAGTGAGTTTGATCTGTTTTATATAGGTTCTGCAAAATGTCTTGGTTTTGTACTCTGTGCTCAATTTATGAAGCTGATGATACTTCAGGGTTCTGTACAATACACTTTACAATCATGGCTTTGTCACTTACAGATGTAGTTTGTATTTTAAGCAGTCAGCTCTGCTTCTTTGAACCTAGCCCTAGCAATAGCCGGACAGTAAGAACATTTAACAGGCATTAACCTCACAAAAAGCACCCAAACACCAATCCATGGACAATTGAGTATTTCTTGAAATAACAGTGATGTATTCTATTGGCACATGACTCTTGGCTTCTCTTGTAAGTTTAAAAATGGCAAAACCTTACAGTAAATTAGTACCAACCCACTGACCTGCAACATGAGATATCTGTGTTCACACAAGTGGGCTTCGATAACATAAAGAAAACATTTTTTGCAACTGTTAACACACCTTGGATTCAGTGCCCTGATGTTGGAATGACCCAAGGCTCCTGATTTGAGGTGGGAATTCTTAGCGTTAACATTCCTGCTGTCCTTCCTTAGGAAGAACGCAGCATGGCCAAGACTGGGTTGTGTCACCCAGAATGCATCCTGGTTGTGCAAACTAGTGGTCACAGGGACTTAGGCTCTGACCCTAGGACAAACTGGATCTCGGGCTCTGGAATGCTATCCCTAACTTGTGATCGATTGCTGAGCCAATGAGAAACGGGCAGTGCTGCCTGAGCTCTGTGTCCCCCAAAGGGTACAGCCCCTCGGTGCTTAACACTCTAGGCATCTCCTTCCTCTAGACCCTGCCCTACAGCAGCCTGTTAAACACTCCCAGGGAAGCCATGATGTGGAGGTGCTGGTGCTGGTCTGGGGAGGACAAAGTCAGAAGTCACGTGACACTAGGTTATAGTCCAACAGGTTTATTTTATATCACAAGCTTTCATCATTTCACCTGACGAAGGGGCTACCCTCTGAAAACTTGTGATTTTAAATCTGTTGGATTATAACCAGGAGTCATGTGATTTCTGACCTACTCTGAGGGAAGACACAGCACATGTTTAGATACAGAGTGAAGCTGTGGGAACAATGGGAAATTAGAACAAAAATTGTGGGGGGAGAAATAAACTGAAGGGCAGTCGAGCGTTTGAGAATCAGAGGGATAATTGGGAATAATCCTACCATCACAGATTGGGCAGCAGGAACCATCTGGAGTGAATTGTTCAGAGATGGAGCAGCTCAATAAAGGACAGCTCTGATGGATACAGATCCAGGTCAAATCCTGCAATAAACACACTGCATCATTCAATGGGTTCATGTTCAGTCCGTGACGTATAGCCTGTCCTGACTCAGCAACACGACATTCCTGCTCTCACACAGTGATCCCCACAACACACCAAGCTGCAGCCCTTCAGGAAGTCCAATTCACTTTCTTCACTCCTGCAACATCTTACAGGGATTGCTTCCAGACTATCGATGGTCACACAGTCTGAATGTGGTCACTGTAGGGTAGGGTCAGACACTGGTCTTTCACCCTCGGATTCTGGCGACAGAGAGTGAGGATGTTTATCAGTAAAGAGCCAGCACCATATCTGATCTGCCACAAGTTCCACAGTATCAACGACTTACCGTGTTTTAAGCACGTGCTAAGATGCAAAGCAGCAGCAGCATCAAACCTTTTCAGCAGAGAACAGATTCGATGTGGAGTAAACTCCCTCAGGACCCCAAACACTCCCAGGACAGGGACAGCATGGGTTAGATACACAGTAAAGCACCCTCTGCACTGTCCCCATCAAACACTCCCAGGACAGGAATAGCATGGGTTAGATACAGAGTAAAGCACCCTCTACACTTCCCCATCAAACACTCCCTGGACAGGGACAGCATGGGTTAGATACAGAGTAAAGCACCCTCTACACTGTCCCCATCAAACACTCCCAGAACAGGGACAGCACGGGGTTTGTTTATTCATTCAAGGGATAAGGGCATCGCTGCCCAGGCAGCATTTATTGCCCATCCCTAATTGCCCAGAGGGCAGTTAAGAGTAAACCACATTGCTGTGGGTCTGGAGTCACATGTAGGCCAGACCAGGTAAGGATGGCTGTTTCCCTCCCTAAAGGACACTAGTGAACCAAATCAATACAGAGTAAACCTCCCTCTGAACTGTCCCCACCATACACTCCCAGGACAGATACATCACTGAGTTAGATAGAGAGTAAAGCTCTCTCTACACTGTCCCATTGAGAAGTACAACATAAGTTTAGATACCGAGCGAAACTTCCTCTACACTGCGGCTGTCAGTTACCCCCAGGATATGGGGTTAGACACTGAATAAAGCTCCTGCTATATTGCCCCATCAAACGCTCCTAAGGCAGTTGCTGTAACATTGTGAATCTTATTGTATATAAACCCCACTGATGGGGGCAGGAACAACGATTGATTTCTCAGTCCTCAAACCCAAAGGCCCTGACACAAACTGGAGATTTTTGGTTACAGTTCAATTGAAATCAGTGAGAAACAGGAAAGGTGGTGAGGAGGAATCTAGCCAGTTGTATTTTTATAATCATGAAGTCCCAATGGCCATGATGCTATGTCTGTGTCTGATTAAATGGCGGTGACAGAAGGGGCCTGAGGGGTGGGGGACTGAAGGAAATGGGACCAGAGGTGATGGCACAAGACGTCAAGTCTCATGGATCCTCACTGATGCCTTGGGAAAGGCCCAATTCTTCTTTATGCAGAACCCTTTAGCCATTTATCCCAACCTGTGCGTTGTTGCACTCACCTTGCAATGACAGCTATAACAGGGGTCAGCAGAAGACAGCAGCTCACTTCCAAACAGCTCAGCAGTGCAGTTACTCAGTGGCTCTGTGACAAAGATGAACAGTATTCAATCCCAACCAAAATCTCTAAGTTCAATTGACTGTTTTTCAGAGGTGAACATTCGGAGCGCAAACAGCTGACCCTTTAAACGATAAGCATTGAGAGTCTTCTTGTGTCTATAGCTGGGGTGAGGTCTAAGACGCACCTGCAAACAGCTTGATAGTGCATCAAGCTTGGGAATGAGTAAAGGCAACAAGGGTCGGGGGGGGGGGGGGGGGGGGGGGGGAGAGAGAGAGAGAGAGAGAGAGAGACCGAGGCCGCACATGAGATACAGCCTGTCCTCAGCAGAGAGCATCAGAGACAGTGAGACTATTGGTTCAAAACTGCACCGCCACCCCCTACCCCACTGCACCAGACATAAACTTGAAGAATATTCAGAGTAACACTTGATTTCACGATAGGAGGAGGATTGTCCTGTTGGAGAGAATGTACTGAGGGAGTGCGGCACTTTTGGAGGGAATGTATTGAGGGAGTGCCGCTCTGTTGGAGGGAATATACTGAGGGAGTGCTGCTCTGTTGGAGGTAGTGTGCTGCGGGAGTGCCGCTCTGTTGGAGGGAATATACTGAGGGAGTGCTGCTCTGTTGGAGGTAGTGTGCTGCGGGAGTGCCGCTCTGTTGGAGGGAGTGTACTGAGGGAGTGCCGCACTTTTGGAGGTGCTATCTTTTGGGATGGGACATTAAACTGAAGTCTGTCTGCCCTCTCAGATTAAAAGATTCAAGTGGAATCTTTTATTGAAGAGGAGGACCAGAAGACTTAGAGTCAGAATAAAGGGCACAATTTAATGCTGAGATGAGAAGGAATTCCTTCTCTGAGATTAAGAGCCTTTGGGACTCCGTGCCACAGAGAGCTGTGGGAGCAGAGCCCTTGTGTATATTTAAGGCTGAGACAAATAGATTCCTGATCAACTGGGGAATCAATAGTTAGAGGGAAATGGCAGGAAAGTGGACGTGAGGAATGTCAGATTAGTCACATCCAATGGAATGGCTCAGTAGGCTCGAGGGCTGAATGGCCTACTCCTGTTCCTATTGTTTAAGGTCTAACAGTCCCTGGTTTTTTTGTGAACTCTGACTCACATCACCAAATGCAGATGGCCTGATCATTCTTATGGTGTTGTTTGGGACAGCTTACTGCGTATAAATTAGCTGTAGAGTTTCCTACATTACAACAATGCTTTAAAACTACTCCATCGCCTCTACTGCACTTTGGGATAATATGAGATGGTGTGAGGTGCTTTTTAAATACAAGTCTTTCCATTTTGCAATAATTTGCTGAAATGATTCAATAATAATTCAGCTGTGAGGTAGCTAACCATTGGAATATCTATCCCAGTGGAAGGGTGGGAATGATTATTGAGATGACATAAAATGCTCAGATTTCCAACATTGCTCGAGGAGGAGGGACCAGTCAGCACATTGTTCAGTGGGTACTCACGCGCACAGCTGGGGCAGCAGTGACCAGACGACGGAGCCACAATCAGATTCCTTGGGCAGTCCACAAGACTGGGGCATTGACGACGGTAACAGTGTAAGTGCTGCTCTCCATCCAGCATCACCTGTAGAGACAGACAAGAGAGAGCGAGCGAGAGAGAGAGGAGACAGAGAGCGAGGGGGAGAGAGAGAGAGAAATAGGGGGAGAGAGAGAGAGAAATAGGGGGAGAGAGAGAGAGAGAGAGGGGGGGGGGGGGAATGGAGGGAGGGAGCAGAGAGAAGTATTGTTTCTAGTTGGACTTGATTTGAACAATGGAGGATGGCCAACTATAAGGCAGCCATGAGACAATGTTGGTGCCAGGGTTTGTCAGAGTGGAGATAATCAATGTATTCACTCACTGGGCTGGTCATTCATTTACATGCTCTCACTCCATGCACAACAGCTCTCACCAGCAGCCTGCCCTCCTGCCCAAGGTAGGTACCCCATCAACCAAAGATTGTCCCCCTTTCCTGGATCACTCTACCCCCTCAATCACAGATTGTACTCTCCCTACAGTCTCTGTACCCACTCAATCACATACTGTACCCTTCGTACAGTCTCTAACCCCCTCAATCACTGACTGTACCCTCCCTATGGTCTCTGAATCCCCTCAATTGCAGATGGTGCCCTCCCTGGAGTCTCTGTACCCTCCCTGAACCACAGACCATTCCTTTACATTACAAAATGACTACATTCATTATACCCATGCTAGAATATTCCCTCTACTGAAGATCTCAACAACGTTATGGTAAATCAATCTGATCTGTTAATGTCTCTGGTTCATCATCTATCTAGACAGTTTAATGCCACTGTTATTCTCTATCCAAGCTGTTCCTTGTTGAAGGAGTTATCCCCAGTCTGGGTGCTTGCTCTGAGAATCGGTCAGATCGCTGATGTTTGCTGCAGCTCCAAGTTCAGACTGTGACTCCCAGTTAGTTTTAACGATAAGACAGCTCTTACCTCACAGGTACAGATCTCACAGGGGTCACTGCTAGGCTGGAAACTCTCACCCGGGCTGTATACACGGTTATTGTAGATGCAGTCTGTTAGGCATGGACAAACACAGTGTATGTTGGCAAACGTGTTGAATTGGCCCCGGTGCACAGTGTGAGAGTTGGCATTAACAGGTAGTGCAGAACTGGTGGAAATGGATAGTGCTGTAAAGACTGTATCTTATTATTTTCTGGTATTTTGGAGTGTGGACTGAAATGGGAAAAGAACTTTAAAACCAAGGATTGTTGAAAGCTTACTGCACTTCTTTTCAAAGCCATTAATGTGGACTCGTTGTAAGTACTGTTTACACAGCTGCTTGTACAAGTAGTCACTGAATCCTAGCTTACAGAAGAGCTGAGCCAAAGGGAGTGTATGAACAGAGATTTGACCAGCAACAAGTGGATGATTGGTCTGTAGTATAGTTATTGATGATAAAGGCCTTCTGCTTGCTAACAACTATCTGACTGGCTCCCACGTAGGTAACACCTTAGGGCTGTGAATTTTCTGGCAGACCAAATGGATCTCCATAAAGGCAGCAGCTCTCACTGTTCTGTGCAGTAAATAGCTCAAGCCTGAACATCAGCCAGTTTATTTCCCCTATCCAGTTGCTGTAAGCTGTGACTTTGAGTTATTAAATCAGACATTTATAAATGGGAATCAGTCACCCTGTGCCTCCTACAAACATGTAAAAGTGTCTGGAGAAGGAAGCTCAAAAAATCATCTCAGCAAAGCACAGGGCCCACTGAACTGCCTTGTCAGACCTTCCATCCACCCAGAACACCCACGTTTTTTGTGTGTAGAGGAGGAGTTTATACAGAGTAGAGCTTTAGCTAGTAGAGTTATACAACAAAAGTTCATAATTATTTACCTATAGAATCTATGTGTAAATGTTTTTAATCAGAATCTATATTGTGCACTGTTTTAAACATTCCAGTTAAGTACTGAAAACTGGCCTGTGTTTTCTGGAAACTTGCATTTGAGAGTTGGGTAAATTGGAGAATTCTGTGTACTTTTATAAAGCTTTAACTTTTGTGAAGACTCTGGCAAAAGTGGGGCTTCATTTCCAGCGTGTTACCCTAGTGACATGTAACAATGCATGATGGGCACTATGGTGTTTTACACGATAGGCACTGGGGGATAGTTTAAAGTTTTGGCAAAGATCTGTAGCTTGAGTTGTGGGTGAGGTTGTTGATTTGCTCACTGAGCTGCTTGTTCTCGTTCAGACGTTTCGTCACCATGCTAGGTGACATCATTAGTGGAGCCTCCGATGAAGCCCTTCACTAGGGGATATACATGATGGGCTTTGGCGGGGATATACACAACAGGCACTGGGGATATACACGACAGGCACCGCGGATATACACACATCGGTCACTGGGGAGTGGGCGGGGGGGGGGGGGGGGGGGGGGG